CTTAGTAAGTAGGTTGATATCCCCTACATGCCATATGAGCTATAGTCAAAACTCCTAGTATCCCCCTTAATAACCCCTATAGTAGTTCCCTATAACATCCCCCATATAACCCCCTTTAAGGAGTTTAGACTATGGCTCATATAGCAACTAAAGTTATGCTCCTCATTCACCTGCTTACTCAGTCCCTCTGAGCCTAGACCCTAAATAATCTGGTGGGTTCCATGTTCTCTTCCATTCCTCAATAAGTCACCGAAACCCCCAAAGTAGTCAAGGGAACAGGCCAATGCAAAGGTTCTTGGAGCCGGCTGTATACTTGGAAATGGGAACCTAGAAAATAAGTTCCCAGACCCCCTGAAGGATCAAAAAAATGGAACCCCCTAATAATCCTCTAGTTTCCCCAATGTAGTAATGAGTTCATATTGGGGTTAGGGGGTCTGGGTTAGAAAGTGGGATAACCGGGATTAGTACATGGCTTGTAGGAGGGGTTATTGGCCGACTTACTAAGTCCCAACCCTCAAAGTAGGTAGAATAGAATCTTGGGCTAGATTCTCTAAACCCTGAACCCTCAACCGCCTCCCATTTGCAGTCAACACTGATTGCCAAGGCACAACCCTGCCAAAGTTGCTTAAGACGTCATTTACATTTACAAGCGCTTCTGCACATCAATCAAGCTATCATGGCTGAAGTAGGCCCCTACAGAACATGCTTGGAGGGTCAGGTGGACTTAGTAAGAGTTAATAACCCCTGGAAGCCATATAGTGACCCAAGTTATCTAAATTAAGCCTACTTACTAAGTTCCCCTGACCCTCCAAGTAGCCCCTATTAGCCCCTACGCAATCCCAGTTTCCGCTTCATTTTCCTTTTCCTCTTTCATACGACTCTCCGTTATTGATAGTAATCTCCCTAAACCCTGAACCCAAAACCCTAAACCCTAAACCCTATCCGCCGATCCTTGTACTCGCACTTGAGACCCGATACGCAGCAGGTGCTGCCCGTGAAGTGCTCATCTCCGCCGCACCTGGTAAATTGGGTTTTCATCAAAGTTACTTTTCAGTAGAAGTCATATTGCGGCACCTACGTTCTAGGGCTACCCAAAAAAAGGGACCCTAAATTTGGGAAACCCTTATTTCCTAAACCCTAGATACCCCTATATACCTTTATATGGGTGGTTGTCAAAATTATGGTCCATTTCTGGATCCCTATTATAATACGGCACCTAATATTTAGGGTACCCAAAAAGGGACCAAAATTCTGATAACCACCCATATAGCCCCTATATCCACTTTAAAGGCACCCCTGATTTTGGGGGATCAAGGGCGCAGGCTGAATCAATGCCAGCAGAACGACAGCATGTCCATGGCGTGGCTGGAAGTCATGCTGCAGATCTCTGAAACTTAAGGGCTTAGGATTTAGGATTTAGGATTTAGGGTTTAGGATTTAGGGATTGGGGTTTAGGGTTTAGGGTCCAAGCCTTGAACCCTAGACCTTAGGAGGACCCCAAAAACTGCAATAGTGGTCCGGGAATAAGAGGACCCAGATATCATCCTTACTATCCCTTATAATCACTATTACTGGGTGGGGGGTCCTCAAAAATTTGGCTCCCAGAATTAGGATTATAGAATTTTGGGGGTGCTTAAGCGGAACCCATTTTCTGAGCACCTGCAAACCCTACAAGGTTAAAGTGTCCCATGGGTCCCATGTGAAAAGTGCTTGCGTGCCTTCCCCATGGTGGGAAACCACTGCCAGAATGCAAAAGGCCAACAGATTCCCAGTAATGGATACAAAATGGCACAGCGTTCCAACTTTGCATTCTTTTTATTAAACTGGAGGAGGCGGGGGTGTTCCGCAAGCTGTACTCAAAGGAAATCATACATCCGACGTGTCTCGAAAGGAAGGCTCCTTGCCTTGCAGGCTGTCAGAAGGAGGAAGCTCATCTTTGAATGCGCATGATGCACACCCAGTCAAGAGAACTTACCAGTTAACACAAGGCTTGCAACCCTGAGACCTGCGCGGAATCCATAACACCAGGGTCTAGGGTTTAGGGCTTAGGGCTTATAGGGTTTAGGGCTTAGGGTTTATAGGGTTTAGGGTTTAGGGTGAGGAAAGCATTCCTTTACCAAACTGCCTGATACCTGAGGTCTGCACTGGTCATGCAGCTGACCGCACGAGGAGTGAACAGGGTGGGCTGTCGTAGTGCTGACGCCTGGCAGCTCAACTGATTTCACGAAATGAAGCACTAGTCATTACCAAGTACTCTTTGCTTATCACTGAAGATCGTTTCTCCTCTCTCTGGAATCAAACATGAAAAAGAAAGTTTTGCCTGCGACCCCTGCCCAAACTTTGCCTGGCTCAAGGGCAGGCACCTCCATAAACACCTCAAACAAGGCATCCGTGATTGACGTTCCTTGCATCAAAAAAAACCCCAATGTTCGAACAATCGTGCTCCTGAACATGAAGCCCGCACAGTCAGCTTAGCCTGAAGCTACATGTTTCAGCTTGAAAGTTAAGAGCCTCACCTCCCTTCCATTACCCTCAGTCTCATAAATCACCAACCTTTATAAACTATCCTGCAAGGCCAATTTCCATTTCATGTTCCATCTCATTTTTCATTTCATTTTCCATTATGTTTTCAATTTGATTCTTCATTATTATTGGGGTATAGTGAGCTTCGAGAACAACAAAGTCAAGATGAGGATAGCATGTGCCTGGTGGTCACGAGTAAACAGAAAAGCTAATGATGAAGGTGGTGATGACGATGGAGACCAAGCTGTGGCGATGACGCTGACCAGGACGCCATGCAAAGGCAACAAGAAGAAGACGCCGAGAAGGTAGCTTTGTTTTGCCGGACGATCCGCTCTAACACTGCCATCATGAAATGAGCGTCGTGTATAGATTCCCGGCGCGGCATTCACGAAAACAGTAGGTGAAGATGGCCAGAGCAACATCGGAAAATGCTCTGACAAGCCAAACATGGCCACGGTGCAGGACAGGAGCCGTATCTACTAGCATTGTCTCTGTTTAGGCTTTAGGGTTTAGGGGTTTCCAAAAAGCAGGATAGGTCATGAAACTATATCGTCCTACACCTCCAGCACGCACATGACCCAGCTGTCGCCTATGTAAACCCTTCAAAGCTAAGACCTCAACACCAATCATCAATCCCCATTCCCTAAAACACCATCCGCCTCAATCTCTGAACCCATGAACCACTAACAACCAGCGCCTCCCACCAGGCGCAAGCATGTGTAGCCAGCGAGGCTGATACTGGTTCCTCTGACATTGTTCCAGCATTAGATGGGTTGTTCCCAACATCAGGGCCCCCTTCTGTTCCCCCTAAATATTTGGTGCCATAATACAATTTGTAACCACAAGGGGCCCAAAATATTGAGAATTAGCCAAAAACATCTTTTAATGTTTAGGACGTAAGGTTGAGAGTGGTTTGGAGTGCAGGGCCGAGTTCATGCTACGGGGTGGGGCCGAGCTACTCCGATTTTTGTCTGGAGGTTTCCCAAATTAGGGGTACCTTTTTAGGGGTCCCCATCATAAGGATTACAATATTTTGTATTCCATATTGGGTCCCTGCCAAACGAAAGTCCAAACACTCTGGCCGCAAAATAAGATCAAAATCTGCCGCTATTGGACTTGATGGGCTAGAGTTCAGAAGTCTGGGCAAGGCAGAAAGGATGAAAGGGCATTACCTACCGTGGGTGAGTATGGCATCCGGGGCAACCGCGGATCTTGATATTTCCTCCTCACCTCTGTGCCAAGGCGCTGTACCGGTTCAGGATGTCAGGGGCAAGGGTTGATCAGGGTCCCTACATAATCCCTGCATAATCCATATTCAACCCTGTAAATGCCAATTTTTTCACCTGATGATCTGGCTTTGCTTATCTTGCAATCCCAGAAATGGGTGAGCATGTCCCCCAAGGGGATCTTACTCATCTCCGCCAGCATCCCTCTAACGGAGCGCTTTCAGAACTCTAGTTGAGTAGTGCCCTGCTGGTGATCGTATTTAGTATGAGTAACTCCCTAAGATTATGAGATACTACTGTATACCAAGAAGAAGATGAAGTCTTACTCAATACTGCGGAATATGGTATCCCCACGAAAATCATGCTCCGCTAGATGTCCTTTAGGGAAGGAAGCGGCCGTCAGGGAGGTTAGTGAGATAAACAACCAGATGGATTGAAGCAAAACAACTAAGGCAGTGAAAGAAGCAAAAGAACACTAAGGCAGTGGCCGATGGGATGCGTCCACACTTCGCACCTTGGTTGCAATGATTGAAAACCCGAATAATTCCTCAAAGGTTACCGCTTGAAAGAAGAAATTCTTAACGTAAGGGCTTTCACAACTACCTCTGGTATGCACTGCCCAAATGATAGTGGGGAACCCCAATCTTTCGAATGCATTCACTTCGCTAACGTTGCACACGAAAAAAAAAAATAGGCGAATTCGGTGGGAGCTCCAACCAAGGCACTTAACAACAAATCCTACTGACACTCTGAAGCCTGGAAAGGCAAAATAGAACCCAAGGGAATCACCCTACTTACTATTGATCACTACTATGATTGCTATCTCTGAGTACTACTATAACTTCTCTTACAATAGTGCCAGCTTAGTCTCGTCAGGGGCCCCTAATCCCTGAACCATAAACCTGAATCCCTAACCCCTACCCAGGCACCGCCATCCTTATATCATCCTATATACATATACATATATATGTACTTTTATTTATTCCTTTATTCCCCCCTAAGAATCAGTAAAGCAGCCCAGGCACCTCTTCCCTACCTAATCCCTGATCCCTCAGCCCTAAACCCTAAACCGTAAACCTCTAAACCCCTAGACCCCTAAACCACTAAACCACTAAACCACTAAACCCCTAAACCCCTAAACCCCTAAACCCTAAACCCAGGAACCTCCTTCCGATGCTCTCCACGCCGGTGCATCCCGGAGTCGCGAGGCACGCCGCCTTGCAGTCAGCCATGGACTCCACGCCTCAGGTGAATAGCGTTTTTTTTGGTGGTTAAATCTAATGATATTATATTCCTTATATAAAATACTATGCCCCAAAAGGAGGGTTTAGGCATCAGGGTTTGGAGTTTGGGGTTTAGGAATCAGGGTTTGGAGTTTGGGGTTTGGGATTAGGGTTTAGGGCTTTGGGGTCTAGCGTTTAGGGAATAGGGTTTGGGGTTTAAGGTCTAGGGATTAAGGTTCATGGAATAGGGTTTGGGGATTAAGGCTTAGAGATTAAGGTTCAAGGTTTTTGGATGCCGCTCTAGGGCTAAGGGTTTGTGAGTTAATAATGCAGAATCAATGGAAAAGTGTGAAAATGGAAAATGGAACGGATACTGGATTTTATAGGGGTCATAAAACTTACCTCTGGCGAGCAGGGAATGAATGGAAAAGAACTTGGAAACTGGGCTTGGCGTTTAGTGTTTAGGGTTTAGGGAAGGGAACGGAAAATGGAACCTATTACATTGTTGGGGATTATGCAGGGGCTAGTACAAGGATCCATTTCTTCATTCCTTGCTTACCCAGAGATAAGACCATCGCTCAGGTTGTGGGGACTTGATGCTTTGCTTCAGGATTTGGAGAGTAGAATACCCTAAACCCTAAACCCTAAACCCAGAGGTTAGGGCTGAAGGTTAGAGCTCTCGGTTGAGGTTGGGACAGGCACCAGCGCTGAAGCCAAAAGAAGGGACGGAAAATAAATATGTGGATATGTGTCTGGTATATAACTTCCCAACGTTGAGAGGCATGGATCCATTCCCTTGATCTGCCCTGATGACCAGCGTTTAGGGCTTAGGGCTCCAAGGCCCCGAAGTCTAGTAGTTGCTCCCTCCCCTAATATGAAGGACCCCCTGGCTTTTGAGTATTCCCCTCATAGATATAAACCCTAAACCCTATATACCATATTGGGAATATTTGATATTAGGGGTGGGGGGTTTTCATATTGGCAAAGCCGTTGGCTTGGCTTGTTCGAAATTGATTTAGCGCTCGGCAGAAATGTGGGGTTTCCTAAGTTACGGCTACCCTTTGCGGGCTCCCTATTATAAGGATTATAGTATTTGGGGTCCCTATTGGGATTCCCCTCTCTCTCTCTCTCTCTCCAAAGCGAAAGGCAGGCTGAGATCCGAACTACCTGTCAGCAGCCCTTTCTGGGATTCCCCCTGTTTAGGGAAACTAGCAAATCAGGCTGCTGCCCCACGCATTGAAATCCCCCAGGTATCTCACAACTCGAAGGGGATCGTCCTGTACAGCCTCAAGAAGATCTGCGACTAGAAGGCAAAAGGAACGCCCCTGTGGAAACCGTGCAGCCGGGGCACTCCTCACTTGAAAGTAGGAGAGAAGGTTGTCCTGGGTTGCTGTTAAGGAACTTAAATTAAGTTACTATATTGGGGAAACCCTATTATTTACTATATATGTATACCCATTATGGTAACTTAATTTAAGTTCCTTAACAGCAACCCAGTGTCTCCAACATTGGCTCCCCGGCATGCTCGGCCAACACCTCCATCCACCGGCTCGAAACCATCTGAGGGCATGCCCGTGGTTGCCGGGACTGTCGTGGTGGGCATAGGTGTGGTCGGGTAGGTTGTTGGCATGGGGGTGGTGGTTGTGGTGGTTGTGGTGGTTGTGGTAGTTGTGGTTGGGGCGGCTGTGGTGGGCGGAGCCGTTGTGGGAGCCATTGTCGTTGTGGAGGGAACGTTTGCCTTCCACATTCCGTTGCAGGTTCCCTCGCAGTTGGCCTTGGACTCCCAGCAATATCCGCTCCTGGGCTGTTCTTTGAGGGTTCAGGGTTTAGGGTTTAGGGTTTAGAGTTTGGGGGGGGGGGTGCTCTGAGACTTGCTGATGGCTAGCTGCTAGTAGGAAATGAGAACCCGTGAAAAAGCATGGAATCAACGTGCTTAGGGAGCATATAGGACAGGCTATAGGCATCACTTCTTCGATGAAGAACTCCCTGGGCTGATTGAGTCCTTGATGTGTAGCATACTGGGTCTCAATATGTGAGCAACACTTTCAGGACATAAACACCGGCCCTGGATTTAGATCTCACTCTAGCCCATTGTACTCCTTGTTTTGAACTAGGCATCAAAGACTAGTGTTATGTATAATCGTAACTGTACAGGCTCTAACTTGATTGCTTCTCTACTTCGGTTTTGAAAACTATCCAAAAAATCTCTGAAAAAGCCCATGACACCCCTCGCAGCCCTTGGCAGCGTCCCAATAACAGCAGCCGTCCGTTGGCGACGTTGTCGTCTGCGCCATGGTTGTGGTAGCTGTGGTTCCCGGTGTGGTCGAGAAGGGTGGCGTGCAGCCGACAGGAAGGCCATCGAAGGAGGCAGCCTGGAAGTTCAGGGCTTCTTAGGGTTTAGGGTTTAGGGTTTAGGGTTTATATAGGCTTAATGTCGGGGGTTATATAGGGATAATGGAAAATAAAATGGAAACTACTATTCAGGCTTTAAGGTTGGGTCCGAGGGTTTCACCTTTAGGGTTTAGGGCTCATACGGGGCTTAGGACTCAGCATGTCTAGGAGTCTTTTGAATGCTGAGACAAGTCAAGTTACTCTCTACCAGGCCAAGAGAGAAAGTGATTGAAATGCAAGTTAGGCTACTGTAGACCCATAACTAATGAACCCTTTCCATTTAAGAGCTTTAACATTAGGATCCCTAGTATAATCCCTATTGAGGGGAGGGGCTTCATCAATCCGGGGTCTACATTAAACCCTAAACCCTAGACCCTAAATAGTAGTTTCCATTTTCTTTTCCACTACCCAATATAACCCCAAGATACCCCTATACAATATAGTAGTTTCCATTTTCTTTTCCACTATCCCTATACAACCCTATCTATCTATATATATATATATCCTATATTACCCTATTACTTAAGGGTAGGAGGGCTCTGGGCTTGGGCTGCTCACCAGCTCCTGTGACAAAGTCTTGAAGCCTGCTTTGAGGCCTGCCTCAGAACCTCGCAAGTTGAAAAGCAGTGCATCCCAACATATAGGGTGTATATAGGGGGTATATCAGGACAATGAAAAAGAAAATGGAAGCTACTATTTATGGTTTAGGGTTTAGGGTTTGGGTTTCCCAAAGTTGGGGTGTACCTTTTTAGGGTACCCATATTAAGGATTATAATATATTGGGGTCTATGTTGAGGCCCTCCCATTTGAGGAAACCACCATATGAGCAGGTCACAAAATTTCTGCCCTCTGACATGCCACTTTCAATCCTTCGTGGCGTACCCTGAGAAGAAGATCCATCATCTTGAGCCATCCCTGAATGAGGGTTTAGGGGTTGAGGCAGAATAATCAAGCCCCTCAAGCAACAACCAGCTTAGGCCGTGCGCCCTGCCTCCCCACACATCTCCGCGGCAGCTCCCAAAACCTGGGTTGCTGTTAAGGAATTTAATCTAAGCTAGGATATTGAGAACACCCCATGATTTCCTATATGTATGCCAATTATGGTAGCCCAAACCCCTATATACCCTATATACCCTGTATGTATATATATGTATACTCAATATGGTAACTTGATTTCAGTTCCTTAACAGCAACCCAGAAACGGGACAGATCATGTTCTCGGGCGTGGCTTGGCCGGCACAGGTTCCAGGATTGCTGGGATCCCAGGCAGTGCACTCGCAGAAGCCAAAAGTGGAGACCTTCAAGGGTTTGGGGGAGGGTTTGGGGTTTAGGGTTTAGGGTGTAGGGACTCTAAGGTTTTAAGATGGTCTCATGCTGGGTCTGGCTGTATGAACACAAGGCAAGCATGGGCATCAGAAACAAGGCAATCCCCTCTTCAACTGCTATTTCTACAAGAATATCCACTGCTGCTCATCTCCTCATCTTCCCCTCCTCCTCCTCCCCATCCTCCTCGTCCTACTCCTCCACTGCCCTCGTCCGTCTCATCCTCCATCGCCAGTCACAAAAAAAAACGGCCACCCCTGCAGCGCCCCACATGGATCCAAGCAGCAGTCGGCGTGAAGACAACGATGTTCGGATTCCCATTGACCTTTGCCGTTTGAATTATAGAGCCAGTATACACTTCTGTACAAGTAATATTAATAATAATAAGTATAACAGTAGTAATAGTACTAATACTAATACTAATAGAAATAATAGCAATGTGATCTTGGCTTGGAGATTGGCTTTGGGCTCAGCCCCGAGCCCAACAGACCCCGCAACGCCTGAGATAAAAGTCCAACCCCATGAGCCTACGGATTAGGGTTTGGGGTTCAGGGTTCAAGGTTTAGGGCTCAAGCGATATGGTAGTTTCCCAAAATCGGGGGACCCAAAAAAAAAAACAAAATACAATGATCCTTATTATTGGGACCCCAAGATGGTACCCCAATTTTGGGAAGGCGATAATGATTGTCACTATATGGGGATCTTTTTATAATATTAGGGATATATTGGGGCTTTATTGGGATAATGGAAAAGAAAATGGAAACTACCATGGTATCATAAGGGTATATAGGGATTATAGTGAGTCACCCTACAGTTCCTGAAGCACCAGGAGAAAGGGCTCACGCGGACGCCAGCAGTTCTCAAAAGAAACGCCGGATGATTGTCATGCTGACGCAGCTGTAAAAAAACGCCTAAGAGCCTAAATGGAATTTCTGGAAAGGAGCATCTCGAACAATCCCGAAAGCATGTGAAGCATTTACCCGAACAAGAAGATCTTATAATCCCCCTTAAGTAGATAGAATATGGCTTTGGGTATATTATAACAAGACCCCCATATACCCCATATTCTATCTACTTAAGGGGGACTATAAGTATTCTAGACCCTGGCCCCTACCCTACAGCCTAAACCAGTAGACACTGAGTCCTACAAACTCCAGAACTACAATCCCTATATACCCTTATGATGCTATAGTAGTTTCCATTTTCTTTTCCATTATCCCAATAAAGCCCCAATATATCCCTAATATTGTTTTCCTCAACCTTCAGCCCCTCTAGAGCCCATAGCTTACGATCTTTATTGGGATGGAATTGGGGCCTAAGGAGCCCGCAAAAAAAAAAGGAAAAGTTCCTGTGGCCTTATAAGGAATGTATAGAGAAAAAAGGACGGCTTGACAAATAGTTTGTAGATATTCCTAAAACCCTGAACTGCGATTATGGTACATACTACCCAAACATGGGGGGGGGTCCCAAAATTGGGTTTCTTGAAGGTCCCCATAATAAGGATTATAATCATTTGGGATCTATATTGGGGTCCCCTATTTTGGTAAACTACCATATCGCTTGAGCCCTAAACCCTAAACCCTATAAACCCAAAGCCCTAAACCCTAAACCCCAGAAATCTACGATTTTAACGAGAGCTGGGAGGCGTCAGAGCCGAAACTATCCGAAGCGCTGAAGCAGCAAGCATTTGCGTTCCACCTAGGGTGGTTTTATGCTTTGTTTAAGGGTTAAGGTTTTGGGTTTAAGGTTTAGGGTTTAGGGTTTAGGATTTGGGGTTTGGGGTTTGGGCTTTAGGATTTAAGGTTTAGGATGTGGGGCTTAGGGTTTAGAGTTGGAGGAAATTTGGCAAGCTTAGGGATCTAGGTTTGGATTGCTTGGAGAGTCTTGTGGACTAAGTGAGTAGGTGATCTAAGCCACAGAACGCGTCCAGGTTGTAACTGCACATGCCCTTGATCTGCATGCGCAGCAGAACGACCCCGATGATTTTTCCATCATTGCCCTACTTACTAAATCCCACCGACCCTAAACCTTAAATCCCAAGCCTACTAAGTCCCTCTGACCCTAAACCCTAAACCCTTAGCCCCAAATTTACTAAGCCCACTTGACCCTAAAAGTAAGGGTTGGGGCTGAGAGGTAGGCAGGTATAAGGGGTGTCCGGTTAAGGGTTTAAGGTTTAGGGTTCAGGGTTCAGGGCTTAGGGTTTAGGGTTCAGGGTTTAAGGTTTAGGGTTTAGGGTTCAGGGCTCAGGGTTGAAGGATAAAATACCCCAGGAAGAATAGAGAATCAAATGCCAGATGTAATTGAAACTTAGGTCGCGTAGGGATTGCAGAACCACGGCCCATCCCCCTTCCGAAGAACTCGTGGAGGCCAGCAGGGGCCCCAACACTCTACTTGGGGGGTCAAGGGGACTTAGTAAGTGGGCTAATAATGGGGATAACTAGGGTTACTATATGGATTATAGGGGTTATTAACCTACTTACTAAGTCCCCCTGACCCTCCAAGTATCAGGCAGTCTAAGCAAAGTTATGATCTCTAGCAAGCTATTCAAACAATGCTGCTGGACAATTCCTTCGCTCCCTTTCAAGCCACATGTGGTAGATGTCGGTCTTGGACTGGTAGTAGACCTAGCGACAAGCAACACTTCCAGAGGCTGAAGTGGAAAAGGGACGTCTTCGCACGGCAAAGTTCCAACACGTGATGATTGAATGCAAACTTATAACGCAACTCAAAAACTTGTGCTCACGAGACTGTCCACAAAAAATACATGCTCGGAGCTTGCTTCAAGGTAGACCTGGAAATCAGCGTGCCCGAGCCACAGATGGCAAGCCATAGGCCAAATCCAGTTCAAGACATACCCACAAATTTTCTGGTTTCAGGTAGGGCCACATGTGACAATTGCCAGAACAAGAAATTAGGACATAGTAAGACCGACAGTGAGAATCTAGCAACAAAAGACTAGGTATTCTCTTCGGCCTTACATCATGGTTAGAACTGGGCCCTCCACACCTTACTGCATTGCATTTTAGGGTTTAGGGTTTAAGGTTCAGGGTCTAGGGCTTAGGGTCCTGCTACTAGCGTGGAGATGGAAACCTCACGTCACAGGAGGGTTGAAGTCCCCTCAAGAACTCGGTCGACTTCCCCCCAAACCCGAAACGCTTGACCCTCAAGCCCAAGCCCTAGGCCCTAAACATTCAACCCATGAAGATACTTAAAGATGCATATAATAGAATATAATATGACATATACATATACATTTATTTATTACATATCAACAGCTTCCGTTTGATTCTCCATTCCCTGAAACCTGAAAAATTGACATCTTGGACCAGACCCCATCCCTGAACCCCATTTTCTTTTGCAATCCCGCATTCCCCTCTGCACATTGAAACAATGTCCATTATCTGTTTCATTTCCTATGTTCCCTGACTACCCCGCTAACTGCTGTATAATCCTTACCCCCTATGACCGTCCATTAATGGCTGGATAAACCCTACATAAACTAAGCGAAATCGATTGCACGGACCGCCTTTGTTCCTGCAGGAACTGTGACATCCCAGCAGATTCGACCTTCCTTCTCCTCGCCTCAGTAGGTCTTTGCCATGCTCTTACAATTCGAACCAACGACAGGAGGGCAGTTTCCCATGGGGGGCACTTTATATAAAGGGTATACAACAAGGGGCGCGTAGGGACAAGGGGGAGTTCCATAATATTGGGTATAAAAGGCTTATAAACGGTCCCTACATGGTAACTCGCCTCCTGTAATTGCCTTAGGTATGAGATTACCATCAATACAATATTCCCAATGTAATCATTAAAAAAACTCAAATGGAAAAGAAAATGGAAGATGAAATGGATGCTACTGTTTAAGGTCTGGGGCTTAGGCCTAACGGCTTCAGACAATGTCCCATAGACTCAATGGACATGGGTTCGTATTGGGGCGGGACGTTGGGAATGACAAGGCATCTGCCACCCTTGAACCACCCTTAACCCTAAACCGTAACCCCTAAACCCTAAACCCTAAACCAATGATCTGGTAGCCATACGCTTGGGGAGCTTTAGGGTTTGAAGTTAAAGGGTTCAGGATTAGCGGGGAATTCAGGCCTAGGGATGATTGGGCTTTAGGGTTCAGGGTAAAGACTGTGGAGATTCCTTGAAAAATGTACAATGTTTTTTTTTAATCTTCCACCCAGCAGGAAGATCCCTAAAACCCTAAACCCCAAACCCTCAACCCCAAGCCCTAAACCCTAAACCCTCATCCCTTATCCCTAGACCCTAAATCCTAAATCCCAAACCCTAAACCCCAAGCCCTGTACAAACACGTCTGACCCAGTTGCGAGGGGTGCGCTCCACGCTGCGCCCGGCCGGCTCTGTCCAAATACACTCACTGCTCCTTGGTCTGGGTCTTACTTACTGGTGGTTAATGGGTTTAGGATTTAGACTTTAGGGCTTTTTTTAATATATGACCTTTTCTCCATGGCATGAATCCACGAAGATGCAATAATGCACAGTCCTTAGACTTTAGGGCTTAGGATTTAGGGTTTGGGGCCCACCCACTGGTGGTTAGCAGGGGATAGGGGAATATAGCTTGGGTTTAAGGCCTAGGGATCTATATGAGCTACAACCGATATGTCCGACATAATTGAATGGACATTGGTTTCGTGTAAGGGACTATATTAGAGACTGTACTAAATCACAAGAGGGACACCTATGTCCACTGTCAAGGGTCTCTTTAAAAGGCTAGTGTTAAGGGTCTCTTAAAAAGGCTAAAATGCAACGTAGTTCCTATGATATGTTCCCTTATTCCATACCCCCAAAAACAGGTTGGGCTCATATGTAAGTCGTTTTTTGGTGGGTTTGTATGGCATTTTGGTAGGGGATTGTAATCGTGATGTACTACAAAAAACGGAACTACTAGCTGAGGCGGTTCTGCATAGGGTCAAAGCGGCTTAACGTTCGAAATTGTGAAGCAAGCGGCTAGGTACTTAACAACAGCATGTAACTATCAAAGGCCATAATGCTTATGCTAGACGCAGGTTGTGGTTGTGCAACATGACACCAGCTTTCAGGGTCAGGGGTTCCAAAAGGCATCTTAACGTTGTGAGAACTTTTGTGGGTTGCTCGCCCAAAACATTGCTGTCAAGCCCGAGATGTGAGGACTTCTGTTCCGATTGCAAACGTTCAGGCGCGTCTTCAATTACGACCACAAAAAGAGCCACCTGGGGTCACAAGGGTCAGTTTCCTAGCTTGCCCTCTTACAGTGGGGCTACATCACTTCCATGCGGCCACGTGGCGCTGAGACAGTGGTGGTGGTAGTTGTGACTTCAATCTGCGTAGTAGAGGCCACCCCACCCTGAATGTCGACATCCACGCAGGACACGAAGATCTCGTCCGTGTATTTGCAGATCTTGGACAGACAGGAGTCTTGCAAGTGGCTACTAAGGCCTACTTGGAGGGTTGGGGGTGAGGGGGACTAAGTAAGTAGGTAAACAACACAGGGCCCACATAAGAAGCATTATGAATACACTAAATAAGCACCTAGATTTGCCCCCCACATTTTTGGAAACCAACAAGTACCTGTACCAAGTCTTAAATGATGCCCCTGTGGAAGCTCACATGGCCAAAACCGCTCTTTGACGGGAATTTCTAATCTGATACCTCAAGCGTGCTCCCGCCAAGGGCACGCAAGAATAAAATCAGTTCTGACATCCTGTTATTACCACTCCTATTTCCATATGACTGTTCTTGCTATTCTTGTTAACCGCAACAGATCCAAGGTCCTATCAGTCCCAACCATTTGCAGACACTGATTTGGCTTTTCCCACAAATACATAGTCAATCGTTGCTTTGCTTGTATCTTCCTTCTGCTTAGCTACTTGGAGGTTCAGGGGGACTTAGTAAGTAGCTTAATAACCCCTATAACCCATATAGTAGACCTAGTTATCCCCATTATTAACCCACTTACTAAGTCCCCTTGACCCCCCCAGGTACAGAGTCGCCCAGAATGTGCAGCGAAAATGCAGAACACTCCTGCCCGAACCTCACCCCGCCCGCTGCTGAAACTACCATTATCTCATCCCAAGATAGAATATGGCTTTGGATAAATTTTAATACGACCCCCACATACCCCATGCTCTATCTACTTAAGGGGGACTATCATGATCTCATCCCAATGATGAATAGATTTACCTTATGCCCGCAACCACTCCTGCAAGACATTAGAGGGGAGAATCCGCTCCTGCATCAAGCTGAAACCCTGAACAAAAAGGACCCCCCACGTGGGTTCACGCTTAACCAAGGATAAGTAAGCCTGATTAAGGTTAGTTAAGGGGAAAGTTCAGATTAGGCACCCAGAGCCAGCGCACAGTCACGGGGCCGTTTGTCATGTCCTAAGCCCCAGACTGAAAGAAAAACTGACTAATCCCCTCCCCCTAGTAATGAACCCTCCCCCACCCCCCTGATATTCGATACTCCCAAAATAATGTAATATACCACATGTCATGCTGATTATTGGCTCTTTCCTTGCTACTTTCTTTTCTCATCTCTTGTTCCACTAGAGCTAAAATTAGCAGAAGACATTTTACGAGAACAACAGCCACAGAAGCATTTACTGTTGGAGCCCCCTTCTTTCTTAGAAGCTACTCAGCTACTTAGCTAAGCTGTTGATCAGTCATGTGGGGCTCAAAAGTAAGATGTTTCAGTAGCGTAAGTCCAGTACACCGCGTGGAAATTAAGTTGTCTCCGCACGCATGCTGCCTTTTCTGGCCGTCTTGATGCTGTTCGAATAGCGGAAGGTCTGCTCTAATTGAACCACGTGAAACCTTAAACCGTATGGACTGCTGCGTAGAGGTTGTCGGGTCGCAACACTTCCCAAGTATCATAGCATAAAAGGTCTACAGAATGGAGTGCGAGGTGTCCGACAAGAACCCTCAGAATAGAAGCTGTCATTCTGCCGAACCAATGCCGAAGTAGACTTTATGTCAGAGCATTTTGTATGAAGCTTTTCTTCATCTGTCTGGCTCAGATCCAGGAAGTTTTTCCCATTCATTCCCACAACCAAACATGCTGCGGGTTTAGGGTTGGGGGTTTAGAGCCCAAGAAAAAACCACTATCCAAAAGGCAAACAGTACGGAACCCGACCAGAAGCCGAAGTTGTCCCGCCCACTGTAGACGCTAGCATCTTGCATGTCAAGCTTGCTGGCGGCTGCTAGGGAATAAGGGGATTTAGGGTTTAGGGTTTCTATATAATCCCTATTTACAAGATTCCCTTGTTCCATACTCACCGCCGGTAAGCAAAGTCACCCTAAAAAGAAGACACAACACGTTCAGAAACTGACCCCAACTTCAAACATGCAAAAATGGGGGAGGTCTTGAGCCTACAACTCCTCAATGAGCACTGCTGAAGGGATGCAAACCCTACAAACCCTAAACCCAAAGGCCCTAAACCATAAAAAGTAAACCCTAAACACCCTAAGCCCTACAAACCCCAAACCCAGCTTTGACCCAGTATCGGCAGGCAAGTTCACAGTTTGAGGAAACCAGGAGCCAGACTTCCAGTGGTCATCCCTCTGAGGGTTGAGGGTTTAGGGATTAGGGTTTAAGGTTCAAAATTTAGGGTTTAGGGATTAGGGTTTAAGGTTCAGGGTTGAGGGTTTAGGGATTAGGGTTTAGGGTTTAGGGTTTAAGGTTCAGGGTTTAGGGATTAGGGATTAGGGTTTAAGGTTCAAAATTTAGGGTTTAGGGTTTGGGGTTGAGGGTTGGGAGGGCTTACTTGAAGGGTTAACGGGACCTGAGAAGTAAACCCTAGACCCTAAACCCTAGACCTAATCACGGGGGAAACCCGGGGGATGTCAAGGAGCTCATAAGGGTTGTGAACTCTACGCGCTAAGTCTCCATGACCCTCCAAGCTTTGGGGGTGTTGCTCACGGTTGTTTTGGGGGGTTTGGGGGCTTTGTTGGGCTTCATGTGCAGAGCTAGAGCTTTACAAGTGCTTCATGTGGATTCTGGGGCTTGTTGCTTCCTGCTTACATTGCTCTGAGTGAGGCCCCTGACCACACCTTTGCCACCCTAAGCTCTTCACATGGGAGTTTCCCTAAATTACTGTTCCCAAAATGGGGGTAATTTATATAGGGCCCCGTATTATAATAGGAACCTAAATATAGGACCCCGTATTGACAGTAATTTAGGACAATCCCCACATAATGATTCAAATAGGTACTTGCCCAAATAAGGGGTCCGCCGTATGCACCCGAAGATCCAGCCTTAGAAGCATCATTAGAATGCCCCCTGAACCACAAAACTCCCCCAAATGTCAAAGCTAACGGAAGCCTCCTCTTTCTCCGACATTTGCGTCGTTGTGCCATTACGGGCGGGCCAGCTAGTAACCCAGACCCCCTAAAGGATCCAAAAAATTGAAGCCCCAAAAATGTCCCCCATTACTACATTGGGGAAACTAGGGGATTATTGAGAGCTTCCATGTTTTGGATCCTTGAGGGGGTCTGGTAAGGGTTGAAGCCTGTAGCTTTGGAATTTATGATCTCTGCAGACTATTATGGGGGTAGCTTCCAAAATTAGGGACCCATTTCCCTGAATATTAGGTGCCCTAAACCCTAAACCCGTAATATAGCTTATACCCAAAAACGATTCACAATTTTGAGAATAACCAATGGGCTTGTAGCCTTCAACCCCAAGGATGGGCCTGCCGGGGCCCTAAACGAACCATCCCTTCGCACAAAGGGTTTAGGGTTTGGGGTTTAGGGTTTGGGGTTTAGGGTTGCTGTCCAGACTTTCCAAAAACAAAGCGAAAATCCGTGGAGCTGGAAAGCTCACAAGAAAGGCTGAGGACCAGCAATGTCTCCGGGCCTTTTGCAATAACACCGAACATCTCGAAATGTTTGCAGGACAGCCCAAACCTGCAAGGATTCTTGCCGGTGAACCAGGTCGACTGGCCTCCTAAAACAGGCAGCATGTCTGACAGGAAACAGCGCAAGGACCTCTTGAGTAAGGGCCTTGCTTTTGAACACCGAAGCCTAAACACTGACGTCCTTGCAGCCGGGGTGCGTGTTGGTTGGATCCCAGTAGTCATGGACATCCCTCCAGTCGGAGAGCCTTCTTGATCGGAAGCATTCCTCCTCAGTGCCGCTTTGCTTGGTCATTCTCAAAAGGCGAAGGCACACAAAATAAACTGCAAGTCACTAGTCTGCATCCAAAAAACTACGTAATACCAACACAAAACACCGGTGTGGCAGCAAACGTAAGAGGTCACCATGGAAAGACTACTATGATGCTGACGACCACGACCACGACCGCGGCCGCGGCAACAACCGCGACCGCGACTGAGGCGCGACCATGAACACGACGACCGCGACCGCGACCGCGACCACAACCACGAACACCATGACGACCACGACCACCACGATGACCACGACGACCACGACGACCACGACGACCACGACGACCACGACGACCACGACGACCACGACCACGATCACAATGACGAAGACCTTGACAACAACGACCACGACCGCGACGACGACCACTACAACCACGACCACAACGACGACCACAACGACCACCACAACAACCAAGACCACGACCACGACCAGGACCACCACCACCACGACGACGACGTACACATCATCGTCGACGACGATGCGGATGATGTTAACACCCACCACGATCACGTCCCGATTCCATTAACGAGATGTGTCATGATATGTTGCAACCCTAACCCATTCCTGCAGTCCCTACTACTCAGAGTCAAGTCCACACCCTCGTCTCTCTGAGACCTAGGGCTTGGGGCTTTCCCAAAATTGGGGGGGGGTACCTTTTGGGAGGAACCATTTTGGGTTTATATTGGGATCCCTATTTATGGCAACTCGCTTAAATATTACTCCTGCCCAGGCATAGATACCATGACTGGATTACCTCATCAGGAATGCGCACCAGCAACTGACCCCTTGAACAGACACCAAGATATGGAATTCCAGGCTTTTCCACGCGAACTGGACCTCAGCCCTCGAGCGTACCTTCTGAAGCACAAAGCTGAGAAAGCGTCTGTCTGGGCTTCACCATGCGGGCAGTACTCAAAGATGGCATCCCCGTTGTGGTCGGCATCCAGCCTGGAGCATGTTTCGAGCAGATCTGGGGGTCGAATCAGGTCGAATCTAAACGCTTCTAGGTTGAGCCCGGGGTAGTGAAACAGCCATGGGTGCACAACGGGGGTTTTGCGCGTCTGTTTTGGCTAGCCAGATAGCTCAAACAACAGAATGCCAGAAATTGAGACTTCAGTTCAGCAGTATGGATTCCTTGTGTCTTGTCGTAGCTGCACATTAACTTAGCGGGCTTAGTGAATTACAGCTGAGACTATAGATACACTTCCCTCACGCTCCAAGAAGTGGGTGCATAGAAAATATGTGTGATCATCTTAATTTGCGTTTTCTGTGGTACTACTCATATTTCAGGCTTAATCTACAACCCTGTTCAAAGAGAACTGCTACACCCTGACCAATTGCTTCAAAGCGTGTCGCCAGATCCCCCAGAATTGAACGGTGTAGGTTCCTGGTGTGTAAGCTCCTGGCACAATGGTGGCTTCCATCGTTCCGCCGGCCGTGTAAAATGGCTCGGCAGGGGCAGTCGCCACTCGATAGTCTTGGTGGTCCAAGGCTGCGGGTTGAGAGTCGTCGTTGACTTTCGGATGTCAGATGATG